TATATATATATATATATAGGGATTTCGCCTAGGGCGTCAAATTGGCTAGAAACGGCCCTGCATCCAACACTTTGAGAGTGAAAGCAGTTTCTGAAGACTGTCTCTGATCTGTGAGCATGTTTGTGAGTTTTCAGAACAATCATATACCTGTCCATAGTGTAAGCCATCGGCCAGGTCACCATGGCCGTCAGCACTATTCATGACCTCACAGATGCAAACAGAGACGGCACACCGGATAACTTCACCTTCCACATGTGAGTCAATCATCACACCATGCACCTCTGTTCCTCACTCACAGAGAACATGATTAATAACAGAATTTACCATGAAGCAAACCAACCAGCTCTAAGGTGAATCACATCAGTACATCATTTGTTTTGCAGCAAAAAGTTTTTGAAAATCAGAAAATGAATCATATGAATAAACTACTCTTAAAGCACTGTAATTGAATCGGTGTGGATAAATGTGTGAAAAGAGCTGTTTTCATACTCTAATGCTACAACATCCCATCTCACAAAAACATACAGTATATGACCAGTTTTTGAAATGTTTGTAAATGACAACCACACTGTTGCCCTTGTTGAAACTACACTGTTGTGGTTTCCACATTTTCAGTAAACTAAGATAAACATTAATCCCATTTCTATTGAAACTTGTATGTCATGTATTTAAAAAAATATTTGTAATTTGACATTTGTAATGATGAATTTGCAATTTAATACATTTAAATTAAATTAACTTTAAATACAGTATCAAATAACACAAGTAAAAATATAACCATGTGCTGTAGTATGTTAATCAACACGTCAAAATAAGTGTACAGTTTTTAAAAAATATACTTTTTAGACCGAAATATTGTGACACACCAGTAAGCTTTCAGGAGAAAAAATATATTTCAGAATTTTCACAAAGAAATCGCTTTTTAACAAAACAATAAATTGATTTTTATTCATGTTAAAGTAAATGCACGCACAGTTCAGTGATGAAACTCTTCTGAGAAGCTGAGTGGCAACACTATCTCTTCTATCTATGCAACCTTTTTTATTTCCTAATCCATGTCAGTACTGTGCACCATTAGAGTTTTCTTTATCCCTCCTCCTCCCCAGCACCACCTGTCTAGATCAATTACAGTTCTTCCTACTTTGCCGTGCCGCAGCAGTAGCATGTGTTCTGTAAATCTCAGTAAAAATATTTGCTCATGCCAGCAGCAGAAGCATAGCAGATCTACTCCGCCAAGACTAATCTTCCTTTCGTATCAATAAAATGCTGTTAAAATCT